TTGCCACATCCAGATGTTCCAAGAATCACCACCATCCTATTATGTCGTCCTATGGCCTTCATTAGGGATTGAACATTCGTCATTGCCATAGTTTCATTGTTGGGGAGGTTTGCAAATAGTAGGCAGGGGCCATTTACATTGGGTATTGGTGTTTTGAGGTTTACAGAAGATTTGTATGTTGGGAGCAGCGGATTTTCCTTAATGTAGGTATGTAGGAACTGTCCATGACTTTTGCTTCTGGGGAAATCTTTTTAGACTCTGATGATGACAATGGTAAAGCAAGAGGAGACAAAAAAACACGAATTAGTCGATGTCACCAGCAAATGGCCAAAAAATTAACAACGACGTCATATTACTTACCAGACGGGACGTAGACGAACAACCAAACATTTTCAGCAAAGCAGTTCTGAACCGAAACAAGACTTTGATCCTGAACTTCTATGTGGAGCCTTCCCAGGACTTTAAGCAGACTGTCTCTTGCATCCAGCTCCACTGCTTGGCTTGCATCATCGAGCTTGTCTGTGGCTTTGAGAGTGAGTCTGCCAGGAGCATAGGCATCAAGTTCAGGTGCCACTTCACTCTTGATAGCCTTTTTGAGATTAGCAACGTTTGTAACATCTTCCAAGGAAACTTCGTCCCAGGCTGTATTTTCGAGTTTGAACCAGGCTTTTGCATTCGCCATGCTGTTTGTTGTGATGTGTACAAGTAAACCAACTGCAACACAATAAGCGTCATACAAAATACGACCGCAAGCACGTTATAGTACAAGTTTTACTTGCGTAAAGACCGTGTTTGGAACGGAAAAGCAAAAGACGAAGTGCGCAGCCACTCCCCAATTTCACACGGGAAAATTTAACGAAGGAGTCACGTGGAGATTACATCAGATTGTTTTTATTAGCGGAAGCGATCATAATAGTGTTACGGTCGGCGTCACAATAGGGTTGGGAGAGCAATTAATTGCGTAGGTGTGTGTTTTTCACAATTTAGCTCTTGTCGCTGCCCTTACTCCAACGATTGCTCATTTAAGGCTGAACTAAATTGAAAAGTGACAAAAATTATATGCGCGCTTCTCTTCACGCCCTCCCTATACGATGTATTTCTCCTATACTCGTATTTAAATAAGGGTACCCACGATAAATAAACAACAACAATCTATGTACCACGGAATCGAAGGGGAAATTTTCTTTTACTAATTTTAAACAGGGCGAACTTCGATTTAGTGTTTGACTAGTCAAGGGATGTCACTTATCTAATTATAACAACAAAGAATTTTAAATTATCATTCGAGATACTCTTGCTTTACCGCAACTACGGGTCGTTACCGATCTATTGCGCTGACAAACGTCTAAATACAGCTACGGGTCGTTACCGATCTGCTGCCGATAGTTAAGTCAAAAAGCTTAGTTTTCACGACGATAGAAATAATGAAAGTAAAAGTTTCGTATTAATTAAAGGATAAATATCAGATCGATTATTATATCCGAATACTTCAGTATCGAATATTATTTATTTTATAACATCAACGATTTCAACATTTTCAACATGAGGATTTTTGACGGTCGGGACGGCTCCTTATATACATTTTGCTGTTACTAGATTTTCTACGCCACAGAGCACGTATTTTCTATTTTTCTCACGCTGTCACCAAAATCGCGTTACTCGCGTTATGTTCTATTCTTAGCTACATTCTTGTGTTCAAAACTGTCACGTTGCTTCTGAGTAACATCTAATTATTAATAGATATTCTTTGATTACTGCGGAGGAAGATTTTACCATGTGACTTGCTTATCGACGTCAGCCGATCAGCTCGCCGTAACAATAGCATAATAATAAACAAACAATCGCGAGCTTGCAAGGGAGGGAGCAGTCGGCCCCTAGACCTGCCTTGAAGGCGATAACTGTCCCTTTTCTTTGGGCTCGCTCAGCTATTAATTTTCGCAATCCTTCCCTCTTGTTTCGTTTTCTACCCAAGATGCTATCAATTTTAAAGTTCTGGTTCGGTATTCGTTCTACATTTGTAAAAGTTCTCAACTCTGATGATACACTTTCCCAGATCTTCGATCTTGCTCTTAACCTTGTGGTATATTTCAGACAAGCTCATGTCATCAATTTTCTCCTTTGCATTAAAGAGCTTTTTAAACTCGTTCCAGAGTGTTAGAACGTTTCCACCATATGATTTGGTTGGTTTCGGAGAGCAATGCTTGTTGTTTGGTTTGAACCGCTTGAAATTATCTCGTATTTCGCAGAGGCTCTTTAGTTTGTCAACCACCATGTACACAGCAGCTTGTTGGAATATGTGAAGGAAGCATACAATGATCACAACTGCGTGTGAGCTCTTCTTGATCATGAGCACCCAAGCAAGGAAGAGCAAAAGCGCGAAAGCTTTTGCAACTTTGTGCAGAAAGTTCTACGAACAGACATGCAATTAGCATTCACGTTTGCACACACAGAGTTTTGTCAAAGATGAATATAACGAACCATTTTATTGAATAAAGATTTTTGGATAGTGCCAATGTTTTGCTCGCAATTAGAAGAAACCATGTACAGTCTTTTGTGTAGGTTGAAACTATGTTGCAGCAAGCGTTTGTGTTTTGGTGAATGTGAATTCATCTTGCTTTTATACACGAATGCTAGTTGCATTCACTTAAAACTAACAATAGGTCTAGAATGCCGCTAAAATTTAGTCTGGATTGGTGCATGAGCCACAGCTATAATAAATCAAGCAAAGCCTCACCAAAATGTTATCAGATATATGGAAATCACGTTCACTTTATCTAAATTACCTAAAATGCATATACAAAATGTGATAGAAATAGGTGCCAAAATGATCAGAATATCGCGTTTTGCCAACAATACATTTTTAAAGTAATAAAAACAAAGCCGTCAATTTCACCAACTAAAACTACAAAATGCCTACTATTACATGTGCATACTATACTATAACATGTAATAATAAAACTGTCCGCTGCAAAAAGTTTTTTTTTATCCGAGACGATTAAACGGCGAAAAAATGGAGTTGAATTCAAAATTTTAATTATCGAGATAGTGGTTAGAAATAATAGGTTGCTCGGCGAGCAAAAATGGTCATTGTTGTATCTGTGATAAAAAGGCTTTATCTTCGAAAGTAATAAAATTGTGCTTGACAAAAAATCGGATTATCGTAATGTGACGCGCGTATTTTGACTCTTTTAGTTGTAATTGTGTCAAAATAGCAAAATGCGAATCAAAGCTCAAGGAGTGTGGTCAAGCCGTAAAAGAGGTGAATATAAAACAGAGTTATGATTGTACAAGTTGTAAATGTACGAGGCACACTGTAACAAAATCGGACAATGCGAATATTATAATGCCGCAGATTGTTATGTCGTATTATTACCATATTCTTTCTTCTCTCCTTTGCTTCAACCTTAAAACATAATAAATTCGTAGGCTAGTGTTTGCGATAAGGACCAGAATTAGTGACACTGATCGAACGAACAAAACCCCAATTATCCAAAACTAGCCAAGTTACTCAATTTAAGACTCGTAATTTGTAATTGGTTTGCCTTTCACCCGTTTTGACATGATCGAGTCACAATTGTTTAATGCGTTGTTTTATTACTCGTAGAAATACACGGTCGTGAATGTAACACGTTTTTCTTACACTATCTTTGGTCTTCGTCATCTAATGTTGGGATTGTCTTGATCGTTGTTCGTTTTTCTCTAAACACAAATTTCTTATGGTGGAGTTTTCGTTGCTAAATAAGTTGTGAATTTCAAACGCCATTTTGACATGAATAAATAAATTCTGTTGCGGAAAGCTTTATTCTTATTATTGATACAATTATTGCACAGTATATTCGAGTACGTTGAACTGGGTCAAAACATATCTATATGCATAGTACGATAATGGATTAGGTGCGGACAAGAAAGTATAAAGTCTCTGTGTACATTACTACGCGAAGCTATCAGTTTAAATAACGTAGACGTGTGGTAGTTGCCTGTGTGAGATATTTTATTTGATATCTACATCACATTGTCGTGTTTAATACGGAATGTTCCAATAATAATAACGGTTTCGTTATCGTTAATGAAGCAATCCAATTAAATAACAAGGTCAATACTATGCAGATATGTTTTGTCGTTCTTGGAGTCATCAGTAACATACCACACGAATTATCCTCTAAATACTGTGTATGCTCGTATGCTCGAGATCATATTCCCACCGAACGATGAATATGACCTCGGCATCTATTTAAATAATCAAAACCCAAATCTTTTATCAATTACAAGCAATATAATCTTTATTAAAATGACTAAACTCATAAGTAAATAACGCAAATCGATGACAAGCGTTAATTATTTCCGATATAATTCTGAAATTCTAACAGAAACAACTAACACCCGATCATCCATTTACAGCATTTGCTTATTAAGATTATCCACATAAAATTTATATGCAACTTCAGATATGTTCTCCTTGGCTTCTGCTTTCTTAGGAAACGCGTTCCTCCCCCGAAATATGTGTCCCATGAACCTCACCTCGCCAATAAAACCACCATTCGAAGTACTATGCATAGTAAAATTGGGCGGTTCCCACTTGCGTGCTTGCGCAGCCTCGTAAAGAAGACTGACATATCTCTTCTTTGGTGTATTAGAATATGTGTAAGAAGGGTTATACGTTGGGTTTGCAGGGGCTGCGCTGAATGCTGGTGGCATGTAATATGGGCTCGGACTCGGCGAAGACATAAAAGGTTGCGGCACACTGTGCATCGAAGACGCCGATGGAGGTTGTGTTGGCATATGAGGCACATACATATTTGATGTCATGGGTTCCACTATTTCGCTCCTTGGGGGAGGGCCAAGACCACTGGACGTTAAGCTAGGTGCAAACGGAACGCGGTCCTCGTTTCTGACACTCTCCATCGATACACCGATAGGAACGGAATAGAATGATGAATTTGCAGTTGTGGAATCGCGCTCAACCGGTCGATTAAACAATTGTCCTATCGGAGCACATCCAGGAACTGAGGTGCCAGAAACTGTTGGAAAAACTGGTTCGACGTTTTCTGTACCAGCGTAAGAACAAGATGGCCGACCGCTATGGTCGTATAGCTTTTCAGTTTCAGTATATGAATATGTATCGAAAATGTCTCGGCCCGCGAGTCCCGAAGCATAGCTAGGTTGTTTAAACATTTCTTGTTCATCGAACTCTTTTTTTTGCTGTTCCTTGAACAGAGCCTCAAGTGCTATCTTCGCTGCAAGATCTTGTGCTTCTTTTTTACTAAACATGGCGTGAGGACTTTTAAATCGTTTGTTTCCTACTTCTACTTCAAAGATATAATTGCCCTGGAAATCGTGAGATTGTTTGTATGTTGGACTTCCATATTTAAAAGTTTGACAGAACTCGAGAAGTGATACGCAAGATCTTTTGTTTTTGTCTTGTTTCTTTAGCCATGTTTCACATTTTAGCGAACTCGTCTCTACACGTCTCTGTGATTTTGTCGTCCTTGTTGATCGTTCTAACTCCCTCTCAATGTCATCAACCAGGCGTGGTTCCATTTGTCGTAATTCTCGGACGGCTACTCGAGCTACCTCTTCTTTCGCATCTTGTTTCTTCGGCTTGAATGTCTCGCCGCGAAAGGTCTTGCCGAAAAAACTTAATGTTGCCAGAAACTGACCGTTTTGTTGTGTGAATTCGTAGTTTGGCGGCTCATGCAACTTTTTCTTCTGGTATATCGTATTAATAAAGGAAACATGGCTTAATCTATCGCCAACGGCTATGTTCGATGCAGAGTATGATTGTTCGAAAGGTGGAAAAGTTGAGCGAAGTGCATCGGGCTTTAGTGCAGAGGTGTAAGTCTGTGAATAAGTTTGTGAATATGGCTGGATTGGAGGTGGAAATGTATACTGAGAGCGTTCCGACGACTGGAACAAGGGCTGTGGGTTTACTCTCCCCAAATCCGGCGAATGAGACATGAGCGGTCTAACCCAAGTCCGGTTTCTCCCTTTTGTTTTGTATCCTGGTGTAGTTGAAGATTGTTTTTTGCCTCTTTTTACTTTCACCATAATCCAGTGCCTTTCAGGCTTTTCATTTGGAAATTGATTTCATACAGGTCACGGAGGCTTGTGGTTGTGTAAGGTTGTTTGGGCAGTAAAGGGGGTACGGTTACATTGTTGTTATACGCCATTTTAGGCCGGTCAGAATGTTTATGATGTAATCATTACGCCCACATCACCGCGTTCCAATTTGTGCAATGTAATCACTTCTATTTCTTTTTGACTGCTTTTTTTTTTACTTTTGCTACTTGTTCTGAGTATTCACGTGATGGATAAATAAATATATATAACAATGGTAAAATTACCATTACTGAAATCATTATGATCCTAGATTGGAAGTGGGAAGCTTGGGCGTGCTGTTGTGCGATCTCTTTGAACTTTAGCCCTTCTTGCGGCTGGATCAGAGTGCGGGAAATGCGCAGGAGATTGTATTGATCAAAGCACTATTGTCTTGTTACAAACGATAATTATGTCTTGACCGCAGCCGTCAATCTAATCTTACATTTTTTTTATCGAAACTAAAGTTATATGGTCGCTGTTATATTGACCCCTTGTCCCCCTAATTACTAGACAACTACTACTACCCCCCCAATATGTCACATTAAACTGTTACACGTACTTATTTTACTTCACAAATCGAATCAAATCAAATCAAATCAAATCACACATCATCGCACTTTTTCAAATGCAAATGCAATATACAATCCTATATCATTTTAAAGCAACAGAACACTCATTAACAAAAATAGAATTCAACGCTGTACAAAACTGAAAACCAGCACACTTCACCTGCAGCCTCCCATTCTGCCTCAGACATCTCCCCATCATCTGGATTTTCTCTTATAACCTTCATGACATAGAGTAATTCTCTAAACGTCTGTTCATCCTTTGCCTCATTATAGACATCATGAAATCTCTTCTTGTATTTTAATTCCAATCCATATTCGGCAGCCAATCTATGATATAAATGAACAACGGTTTAGACACGTAATCGATGACAAAGACAATGCAATGACCAACCTTTCAAAGTATAGTGTGCCAATCTAATCCACTCACCTTTCGAATGTTCTAAAATGTACCAAATATTCCGGACAATCAACCGCATCCGCTAACCAAAACCAGTATTTGTGTCCAAATGTTGGAAATGTCTCTTTCTGCTCAAATCTAATATTATAAATTTCGTTTCCAAATGCCAATTCATCTTTAGGTAACGCTTTCAGGCGTTTAACAATCCAGTTGGCATCCGGAATAGTTCCAATGAATTTTCCTCCTTGTTTGAGGTTGGAGGTGATGTTACGCAGAGCCATACGGGCTCTGGATTTGTTTTCGAATGCATAATGCAGGGAAAATTGCATGCTTACCACATCAAATTCGCACGTACGTGAGATTTTGGTTGAAAGAGGAAACTATAAGGAGAATAACAATGAGAAACAGATAAATAAGCAAAGACGATAACGTTAGATTTCCAAGGAAAGTGAAAATTAACATTGCATGACGTACAGAGAAGCAGTCAAGAGTGTTGAATTCTACGACAAACTTGCGGCCTTTGTTTTTTATTGTAGATCGTACTAAAGATTATTAGCCAGAAAAAGACATGTCGGAAATCATGCATAACCCATTTTATCGTACCTTTCATATCTCTCCACCTTTCCTTAGCATGTTTGATTGCCACTTCAGCAATATCTACGGATTATGCGGTTTTCTATTAGCCAGCGTGAAAATCGGGGAACTCATTTTTCACCCACTCGCACACTCGTCTTGACTTGGCCTCATTAGAATTTCTTTACTTTAATCGCCCATTTCGTTCTAAGCCGATGGCGTTAATCATATCGCATTCCTGCCCGCATTTCCACCGTTCCTTTCCTTTCCTTCCTTCATATCCTTTTTCCTCTTGTCCCCAGTTCCCAACTTAACTTACCCAATCCTATATATCTTGCAATTCCGGCTTTTTTCCACTTGAGCAGATCTCCTCCTTTTCCGCATCCCAAATCCAACACTGTTCCTCCTCTCACTGCATGTCTCCCGATTAAAACACTCTTCACCCAGTTGTTGAAATTCCTCATGAATATGATCTTGGATTCGCCACGTTTGGAGATATCGACTTTTGGACGAGAATTGTAGTGATACTGAACTAGTATCGTGTCATCGTTAGTGGAACGATATCCGGATCGTGAAACTTTTTGGCGCTTGGAGTGGGTAGTAGCATCTGGAAGGGCAGGATCCGTGCGTTTACGTTTCGAATAAGTAGTAGTGGGCGCGGATGTATTAGAGTCAGGATGCCATGAACTTGAGTCTTCGTTCCTATGAGAATGTGAGTCGGAATTTGTGTATGTATGTGAGTACATTGAGACGGTTACAGAAACAGTGGAAGGGTCGACCTTTTTGTGAACAAAAATATCCTATTTGGGTGGTACAAACAGTAAATCATGAATTGTCACACTACACCATTATTAATATAAAGCGTTTTCTATAATAATACAGTAAACGGTGAATGGTTTCGTCGATCGTACTGAATTTTCAAAGCTCACGCAGAGAAGAGCACTCATAGCCTGTACGTTAATTATCGTTTGTATAGACTTTTTTATTAATTCAGTGGGCTCGTAGTTACTTAACTGATAAGGAACATATGGAAGTTGGCTATATGAATGCTCTGATCAAAGAATATGTCGATCAACTTTACAGAAGGCTCTGATGCGTTTATTTGAGGATGGAAGATTTATCAAACTGTAGTGTTTCATTCGAATATTGTAATAACGTGATAAATTGGATAACAACCCACAAGTCTAGATTTGTACTTTCCTTACGTGCTTATTGCTATTGATTTTCGGGTTTATGAGGATTTGCTAAACGCAAAGAGCATAATAATTTTCTAAATGCCTGAATATCAAATACAATCTTCTGACAATGCAATTTAAATCTTTCCAAAGCCTTTTAGTTCTTTGATTGTGAACTGATGGGCCACACACACTTGAATCATTACGTCAAGTTTTTGGTTTAGAGCAAAGGACTAACGGCAAGTCATTAATGGTCCACAAAAGAGTTCGACAAAAGTGAGCATTTTCGGATAATTTGTTACTTGCCTTTTTTTACAGGATAGCTGTTTATGATATTGATCCTGGAATATTTTGTGATTTGATTTTTCTAAGGCAAAAATAAGTACAAGTCGTGTTTTTTTTATAAGTTCAAAGGTGCCGAACAGATTGCGTGTTCATGAAAAATATGTTACGGTTACAGATTTGAAACAATTAGTTAAACGCGTAGACTACACCCTATGAAGGATGCGGATAAGCCTGCTTTCCCGGAGCAGGATGAACATGGTCTCATAAATGGGGCAGACTGCAACAAAACCAGACAAAGTGAACATTTGATCATGATAAAATTTTGGGGTCAATTTATAGCTGTGGCTCATGCTTATAAATTTTAGTGACATTTTTTAGACTTATTGCAATGTGACTAAAATCCTTAGTTTTCAATATAACATAGAGCTAGATCAACAATCTATATTTATAAGCGAATGCGACTAGCGAGCCCAAGCCCAAAATTTTAGAATTGATAACGTCTTGGGTAGAGAACGAAAGAAGAGATCATGGGGAGAACGATTGTGATTGAGCGAGCCCAAAGAATAGTAATAGGGACAGTTATCGCCTTCAAGGCAGGTCTAGGGGCCTCCCTTGCAAGCTCGCGACTGTTTTGAAGGATTATTGATCGCTTACGCTAATAAAAACAATCTGATGTAATCTCCACGTGACTCATTCGTTCCGTAAAAATTCGTGCTGTGCAATATCATCTTTCGTCTGTCTTTCGCGGTCTATACGGGTAAAGCACACCGTAAAGCCTTACGCTCAAAGAACTTCATGGTTGTCTGACAGTCGTTGTCTTGCTAAAGAATCATCCTTTTCTTTAACAGTTGGAATGAATTTCAATTTATGTCTTGAGAGGTCTCCGAACTTTGCAACATTATTATCGAATAGACTTTATTCGTCAATGTTTACTTTGACTCGCGGTAGGTGGTTGTCGAGACGGTTGAGGGGATGGTTCGGGAGTGATAATGTTGAAAGTTATTGCCCAACCAAACTTCGTTGACAGGCCGATTATGCCACTCGTTATCGTACCTATAAGTATTACAGCTTTGAATGTCGCTCTGTTTATGTTACTATTGATTTTCTCGTCTACGGTTTTAATTTCCTCCCGCATGCTGCCCATTTCCTTCCGCATGCCGTCAACATTTGCGTTTATGGTGTCAAATTTTGCGTTCATTTCCTCTCGCATGCTGCTCATTTCGTTCCGTAAGCTGTCAACTTTTACGTTCACCTCGTTCCGTATGCTATTCATTTCGTTACGCACGCTGTTTATTTGAGTTTCCACGTTCTTCAACTCGAGTTTCGCAAATTTGTATCTGTTTGTACCGTTACGCGTTACCAAATCCCCGTTTTCGTAAGGGCGAACACTGGCGCCGTTATGAAACAGTCGGAAAGTGTGTCGAACATATTTATGCATGGTGTTGTTGTTCTTTTATGTGAGGAAGGATTTTATGATTTGTTGGAAGAGTTAACGAAATAGACAGAGAGCAGAGCTTTTGGGAGCTTTTATATACTTTTCTGGTTACATGTAATTAATAATTAAATCCTTGATATATTTTCAATCGATTGCTTGTTGACAGATATTGCATGAGACAAAAGCTCCTACTGTAGGAGGTATATCCAATTATTTTACTTATACTATGCGATTGCTGATTAAATGTAAAAAAAAGGTGATAACGTAAGTGATTGGCTTATCACCGATCAATGTTTATTGTCATTTGGCGTCATACAGAAATGCTTGGAAGGTATACGTCAAGCATGACATAGTTTTACTTCCATAACAAATGCATGAGCAATAATTCGTATAGTGGCCGTAACTGCGGAAAGTTATTAAATCATGTTCCAGAAATAGTAGTAACGCCAACTGACAATTTTGGACATATTCGTCATTAATTTTCTTCTATTGACAACCGAGATCGGATAATAAGCCAATCACCTGCAGGAGCACGGTGAAGGGTGATATAGAGAACGATTACAGTAAAATAAGCATAAGAATTTTTATAGTCTAATAATGAATAAGTTATTATGCCTCATTTTTTACGGAAGAAATGGTTTCCTTACCATGTTATGCTATTCGCCTGCTTTTGAAGAGGGATAAAAACTTTCTGCAAAAATTATCTCTTCATGAGAGCCAGCGTGGGAAAACGATATCGCGCACTCTTTGTTTTTCTGCACATGTCAAACACGTCAAGACTTTAATCCCGAGGTATCGAATCACATGGTCGTCATGCAGTATTGTTACGACTAGCAACCAATTGAAAATATGTCAAGAGTTTAATATTAATATTAATTATTGTGGCGCCTTAAAAGCAGATGACAATTGATAAATTATGCATGTTATAGAATAACACAACAAGCCATTTACAAACCCATTATTGTTACCCTCCTTGTTACTATTTCTGAGACAATAGCTGCTCAAAAAACAAAGGCCTGGACAAATATATATCCTAATACTGTAATATCACGAGGAACTTTTATTCGCATGACAAAGTCTCACCTTTTTACTATTATCTTTAATCATTCTGTCTATCAGTCCAATCAGTCATAATTTTCCTTAGCGATATTATTTTTAGCACTTTAAATTATTCGAAAATTTTTATTTTTCATAATATTCCCTGCAATCAAAAGAGTTTCCGTATAGACGGTAAATAGAGTCGAGCTTACCATTAATTTCGTAGAAACTTTGACAACAGAGTCGTTTACTGTATACTACCGTGAATAAGCACCCACCCTTAACAATAGCGAGGGGTGCCAACTCTCATTGGCATTATTAAAACGATCAACAAATAATTACACTAGGAAACGGGAACCGTTATGAGTCCGTCAAAGTAGCAATTTTAATGAGATAACAATAACGCCTTCATCAATCACGAGATCATGTGCCGGACAGAGAAAACGTGATCAAAATGTTTCATAATAATCCGGCGATATGTCATACATCCGGTGTCACTTATTATGATAATCATTTTTTCGACCCAGTGTCGGGACTGATAGTTAAAAAAACGTCATCATTTATTTATCGTAATATATTATGCTGATTACAACCATAAATCTAATCAATTTCGTTCATATGTATTATTAATACATGAAAACCGCCAATGCCTCATTTGCGTCATGAACGAGTTCGCGTTATCATCAGTAGGTGGTGTACTAAGGGTAGCTTTCTCTATAAAAGCCTCCAAATCATTTAGGCTTCGTGTGAGCATCTCCTTTACAACGTGAAAACTTTGTTAATATATAGGAAATTGTACCGGAATTGTCACAGAACATAAATGACTATAGAGGCATACCTTAAAGAGAAGAAACGTTGATGCACATCGGCGCAACAGGACCACATTACGTTTACCCGCTGGTAATTGTGTCCTCAAAACTTCTCGAAACACATATAACCCTTTGAAGGGTATAGACATTTCGTAAATGATAGCAGTATGATCTAATCATTTTCAAATTAATGGTCAGACAAGCAACCAATACAATATGTACGTGGGCGGTTCAAAAAGTTTTGACACAAGAGGCTATCAAAATTTTATTTACATAATAAACATCAATCTAACTAT